GTTGAAATAGTTAAACTCCTGCGTAGCTAACTCAACATCTCCCTCGGCCTTCCACATTGCCTTTTCGTCCTTGGCAGTGCGCTCTTTCTTGTCCTGCAGCTTCTTGAGAGCCGTACGATGTCGGTCATAGTCAAGTCGCTTGTGTTCACGCTTCAGGGCGCTCTTGCGTATCACCTTGATTACGTCGAGCAACTCGTTGGCAGGACGGATAATCCTAGATTCTATCATTTCCAACTCGGGTGCCAACGTTTCTTGCAGGTCCTTGACAACGGCTTCGTATTCTTCGCAGGCACGGATGCCTTCGGGATTTCCTTCAAACTTGATCGAGTCAGGGTCCGACATGCGACCTGAGATTGGCTTATAGACTTCGGTCATGGCTTGGCTGAACTCAATCTGGTGGGAGAGCATGCCATTGATGGACTCGAAGTACTTTTTGGATTCATCGTGTAGTTTTTTGGTCTCGGTTTCGAGTTCCTGGAAACGTCGTTCGGCGTCGATATAAACAGCATCTTTGGTGTGCTCGCCGATGTTGAACTTTTGCTTGAATTGTTGCGGAGCCTGCAAGGGGGAAAAGGTATCAGTATCTCTGCTTCGTCTTACTCGGTGTTGATCGATAGTCCTGACGTGTCTCGGCTATTCGGTCGCGCGCAAACATGCCGTTTCGCGCGCGCCAGACGAGTTGGAAACCCGAGGACAAGCAAATGAGGGGCAAGGCTTACCCGGGTGAGGCTCTTTTGGAAGCCTTTGAAGCTCATGGTGAGAGCAAAGCAATAGTTGTGGTGCTATAGATGCAAGACTAAGAGCGGAGCTGGTGGAAGAGGAGTCTTAATCGCGAAAAACCTCAGTCGCGAGGCCACCAAAGTTGGACAAGAAGGTAACTTATCCAGCACAATTAAAGACAATGACTTGGAGTTGAGTCGTGGAACGGATGGTGACGTCCACTTGTGTGGCTGTGTTTTAGCTCCAAGGTCGTCCTTTTTTTGCTGCCCAGCCTGTACTGTAGCCTACGCCTTGTTGCCAAGCCTGCCGAATGCCGTCTTGTCTTGTGGCTATCAGGTTGGTGAACAAATAATCAAAACACCCAAGCAGAGGAAAGAAAGAGGCCTGAAGCTTAACAATGTGAGCAGGGATTAGGGTTTCTTATTAGAAATTGGGTATTTTCTTTAACCGATGTTACTACTCAAGTAAGTGAACCCAAAATGCCCATCTCACTACAGACTGGACCAATGATGATTGTTGCAATGGAAGCTTCCATTTAACTGATGCCTTGAGGTTTGGAGGTTAGGCCACCCAAGCTGCCTATTCTGCTACGGTAATAAGTATGGTAGCCAGCCACAACTGCGTCATGGTAGTCGGGTTGCGTCACTGAACAGCTTTCAGGGATCAGTCTCACTCAAGCCGTTCACTCACTGCCACCATGGACATCTGTCTATAATCCCTTCGGAAAATGCGGGCGGGCATATTGTACTCATAAAACCCGAGATACAAAGCACCGAAATTACAATTTGAAGAAAGTACGTAAGATAAAGTCAATAATCACTGCCTTTACCCATGCGAAGCAGAATTACAAGCCCTAAAAGGGTCTTTGTGAAGCTCAAGATGCAGAACATGCTTTCTGCTTACTGGGTATGCCCACAGGCTCGACAAAACAATGCAAAGACATGAATTTCCATCTCTAGACTTGAGTATTCGAAAAATTACTTGCCACGACAAATTGATGACATTTCCATCTCTTTCTCCTCACGGCTTGGTTTGCCGTCCGCTACAACCTAAGGCCTAAAAAGAGCGCTCCCCGGCTTTTTAGACCAATCACTGTGCCGGAATCCACGGAACCTTATCACCGAGTGCCCGAGCCGACCAAGCTAATGACAAATTCTCGATATGGAGCTCAACGTCTCCACTGGAATTTGCGTCTTGTCTACTTCTCCCACTGGCTTCGCTCGACGTTTTTTCTTCGTCCTTGCAACTGCCAGGAATTAAATTCCATCCATCATGTCTTCCAAAATCGCATCCTGCGCCCTGCGCTCGGCAGGCCGAGTCAGCTTGAGCTCGGGCTCTCGCGTTACTGTGGCCCCTCTCCGGGGCATGGCTCGCGCAGCTGCTGTGGCGAGGCGAACATCACGAAGAGGATACGTTACCGAGACCAAGAGGGATAATGCCCAGGTCGAGACAGCTATCAAGCTTGACAAGTCAGCTTTTGCAGACATTCCTCCCCCTGGGACTCCCTCCAATGCCAAGGTTAGCCCAATGGCTGGTATGTGCATAATCTAAGCTGTCGCAGCAGAGCGATATTTCTTAGGGTTGAGGCTAATTTTCCCATCAAGAGGTCTTGAAGTCAGCAGCAGTCATGGAAGAGGGCCAGCGTCCTATTTACCTCGATATGCAGGCTACCACACCTGTCGATCCTCGAGTCCTCGATGCTATGATGCCTTTCTACGTCGGCGTCTATGGTAACCCTCATTCGCGGACACATGCCTACGGCTGGGAAAGCGAGAAGGCCGTGGAGGATGCGCGTGAGCACGTTGCAAAGCTTATCGGAGCTGATCCTAAGGAAATCATTTTTACCAGTGGTGCTACCGAAAGTAACAACATGAGCATCAAGGGTGTTGCTCGCTTCTTTGGCCGTTCCGGCAAGAAGAAGCACATTATCACAACACAGACAGAGCACAAGTGTGTACTTGATAGCTGTCGTCACCTTCAGGATGAGGGTTTCGAGGTCACCTATCTGCCTGTTCAGAATGATGGACTCATCAAGATGGAAGATCTTGAAGCTGCCATCCGGCCCGAGACTGCTCTTGTCAGTGTCATGACTGTCAATAACGAGATTGGTGTCATCCAGCCTATTGAAGAGATCGGCAAGCTGTGTCGATCAAAGAAGATCTTCTTCCACACTGATGCTGCTCAGGCTGTGGGCAAGATCCCTCTCGACGTTAATGCCATGAACATTGACTTGATGTCGATTTCGTCACACAAGATTTACGGCCCCAAGGGTATTGGTGCCTGCTATGTCCGAAGACGTCCCCGAGTTAGATTGGATCCCCTCATCACCGGTGGTGGTCAGGAGAGAGGTCTTCGAAGCGGAACTCTTGCTCCATCACTTATTGCTGGCTTTGGTGAAGCTTGTAGAATCGCCTATGAGGAAATGCCCGTGAGTAATACCTACCCCATTTCTTTGATATCCTCCTCTGTTTTAAGTGATGAGTTGCTCTACACATGCATGGCTTTCTGAATGGCCTGTGACAAGGCCGGCCGTGTTGATCGAAGCTTCTGTCTGATTTACAATGATTCTCCATTCTTTGTTTTCATCGATATTTTGTATGCAAGACACTGACCGATGATAGTACGACACAAACCGTATCAAGTACCTCTCAGACCGCCTACTTAAGGGCCTTTTGAGCATGGAACACACAACACAGAATGGTGCCCCCGAGTCCTTCTATCCCGGCTGTGTCAACGTCTCCTTTGCTTACGTCGAGGGAGAGTCGCTCCTGATGGCTCTTAAGGATATTGCTTTGTCTTCTGGCAGTGCTTGTACTTCTGCCTCTCTGGAGCCCAGCTACGTCTTGCGCGCGCTTGGCAACAGTGACGAAAGCGCTCATAGTAGTATTCGATTTGGCATCGGTCGCTTTACCACTGAGGCAGAGATTGATTACGTCCTCAAGGCAGTCCAAGAGCGTGTTAGTTTCTTGCGCGATCTGAGTCCCCTGTGGGAGCTCGTACAGGAGGGTATCGACCTCGACACTATTCAGTGGAGCCAACATTAGGCTGTCCTGTAATGAATACGACGACTATCACACTTACCCCGACTTCTCTGACTAGTGTCAGGCACGGGATGTATATCAAGGACGTTAATGACAAAATGGCCGGCTGGAGCGAGGCTCAGCTGTGCCTGTATAGCATACTGTAATATCAGAGATACCTCTTTCTTTAAATTCTGGAGATGAAAACAGGGAGTCATTGGTTCAAGGAGCTTGCAATTATCGGGGTATCTGGTCCAAAGGCGAACAAACAGGCGCCTCTTTCAAATGTCGCAAGAGTTAGGAATAGTCTTTACCTATTGGAAACGAATGATCAGAGCAAATCAAAGGTCATAGTCGCACAAAATGAGACACGACAATTCACTATGGTACAAATTCGACCACGATTTATGTTATGAAAATGGTGCCATACTTGACGCAAGAGTTAGTGATTCTTCCACCTTTGCGGTTGGCTGCTGTTGGTGGTGTAACCATCCATGTTTGCCTGTCATAAATGTCTCACGTAGCCTACGAGGATCACATGCATGGAAACCCCTTGGAAATTGTCGATGGGATTTGCCTCCAATCTCGATCTTCCCGTCAGGTGTCCTGCAATGTTGATCCAAAGCCATTACGTTGCTCATCCACTTTTAGAACACCTCAGTATCAGTATCCAAGATCATGTAGTGAGTTATACATGGTGCGATGAAGAGACTGTCAACCAAGGACTTCTATTGTCTGTACGTTCTATCAACCGTTAGAAATCACCTCTCTGTAGCCTTGCAAGTACGTATGATAGACTAGTACGTACCTACCTGATGTTAATACCTTCTTACATCGATATTTGATTGTCTATGGAAGCTGCATAGTTAGATATTTTAATGGAAACCCTCAACACAAACGCGGCTTCCAGCGCTTGTTTCGTGGCACTGGTACAGGTCGTTTGTTTGGTATCAAGTGGCGTTGACGTCATACACAAATGTCCACTTTCAGGTGTCACTGAGAGTGCTGGAGATTATGACATCACTTACATGTATCACGACTGCCTGGCAGCCGCCTTGTAAGTGAAGCCTTCCTTCCTGTCGTGATGGACTTCCATTCAACGATTATAAAGTCTCCTCACTGCCCCCTCCTCGGCTCATTTTCATCCCTCCATCAACAACCATCCTTGAATCCAAACACCAAAGCACTATCAACACTTTGAACACATTCATTCTACACACAAACCAAACACACAAACCAAACACACAAAACACCTTCAACATGTCTGACCAGCCCCAGCCTTCCACTCTGAAGTCCGTCATCGACTCTACCACTGGTGCTGTCCAGAATGCTATTGGCAGCTTGACTGGCAACACAAGCGACCAGGCTGCTGGCGACCTCAAGAAGCAGAAGGCCGAGGCCGAGCACGATGCTTCCCACGCTACCGCTAAGCTCCCCGGTGTCACTCTCTCTGGCTCTGGTGCTGCTGCCAAGGACGACCCCAACCGCACTGAGGGTTCTTGGAATCAGACTGCTGGATCCGCCAAGGAGACCATCGGAGGTCTTATCGGCAACGAGGTGAGTCAACTACGACTATTTTACGTCTGATCATTGCTAACATTTGCCAGTCCTTGAAGCAGCAAGGTCGTGAGCAGAACCTCGAGGGACGCAACCAAGAGGCCAAGGGTCAGCTCAGTGACCTCGGGTCTGGCCTCAGCGAACGTGTTCAGGGTACTGTTGGAGGTGCCGTCTCCAACCTTACCGGTGACAAGGAGAAGGAAGCTCACTATGACGAGCTACGTGCCGAGGGCAAGACCCGTCAGCGTGGCGTAGAGCATGATGTCCAGAAGCAAGCTGAGGCTGAGCACCGCGGTTAAAGCATGATACGCCACTGCCTACCATGAACATCAGGCTAGGACGAACATGAGAGACGATGAAGCATGATACCCACAGTTGACCTGAGCGGATCAAGGAGATCCAGTTGATAATAGTCCTAATAAACACTATGAATCTTTATTTTCTGCCTCATTACTGTTGATTATTCCGACATAGAGTCCATCATACGAAAGGATAGTGTACTTTGATTCTGACAATACTGGTTGTCAGTGTGACATTACTGTACAGCAGACTAATTGTGTCTATATCGAGATATGTTGGCGCCGCCAAATGTACTCACTTTCCAGTGCAGAAGTTGTACATACCATGTTCGCCTAGCTTTCTCGGAACAGTGCTTTTGTAGAGGACATGACCTTGCCGTCATGGCCCAGAAGTTATTATGCATATTTTATACACGCCATTTTGAACTGCGTAACACACATCAGCCTAAGCGACTCGTTCTTGATACCAAATACGCTCGCAATAACTTTTTACGTCTTATAGGAGCCCGCATCGTGGAGCCAACGGGCAAGGCCGTTTAGCTTCTTTGTAAAACCGAGCATGAATACCTGCTCTTGGAATTTGACACTCCAACTCCACAAGATGATAGCAAGTGGCTTATAGCCTAAAGAGACATCGTAGCACCTGTATTATCTCGGAGTCCATGATATCTGATCTCTACAATTGCCCCAATGAACAGGGCGGTCCCCGGTATCCTTCCGCCCAAATTTGAATCATGAAGAATCTTGCTATGTCTACTACAGGCAAGCTGTCATATTTCCTCAGCAACTTATACACGCTTACGTATTTCGATAAAGGGAAGAACAATCTCTTATATTCAAGGACTCCTTTCTAGATTGAAAGTATGTTCTGGTTCAACTTACAAGATTCCTCGCCGTTCAGCTACCAAGGTACAGTGTGTACAACATACTTTTCTTTCATCGATCATACTAATAAGATATTCTCAAATCAATAGTTGTTTCCTCTTTTTAGCATTCATAATTTCGACACTTTGGGAAAGTAAATCCAGTATCAAGATGTCACATGAGGAGAAATTGTTTAAATAAAAAATAGTTCATTAATATTCATTAAAGAAATGTTGCTATACATATCCATTAACAGTCATTAGTTCCATTTCCCTCCATTTACAGGCCACGGTGGTGTTCCTTGTCAACGCTGCTGTGTCGGCGGCTGTGATCCGACTCAAGGTTGTCGTGAGCGATCTCAGTAGGGACATGCTTCTGCATGATGGAAGGGGGAACCTGAGTAGCGTCGGTAGGGTCACGGCCGGCAAAGTTGGGTTCGCTGTAAAAGTACCAATGGTGAGAAACAGTTGACGATCGAGTTTGTCGAGGGAGACTTACGAAGTCTCAAAGGTCTTCTCCTTTCCAAGAGTCTTGCTGCCGTCAAGGTTGGAGTCGACGCGAGGGTCGGCCTTGTTGAGCATGTCAGACTTGTGAGGACCAGCAGTCTTGGGGGCAGGTCCGGGGTTGGTGCTGTCATAGGCGGTGTTGCCGGTCATGTGAGAACCAGAGTGAGTACCGCTCAGGCCAGAGCTGTGAGTACCGGTAGGACCGTGAGCACCGGTACCGTGGCTGGAGAAGCCAGAAGTGCCAGTAGTGGTCTGGTCGTAGGTGTTACCACCGAGACCTCCAGAGCGGCGAGAGCTGTCAAGGTCGGAGTCAACGCGGGGGTCAGCAGCGTTGGCAGCACGGCTGCTGTGGGGGCCGACACTGCCCTCAGGAAGGCCAGAAGAGTGGCCGGTAGAGCCGAGTCCGGTGGAGTGGCCGGGCATGTTCTCGGAGTGGCGGCCAGTTCCGGTCATACCAGTTCCAGTCATACCGGTGTTGCCAGTCATGCCAGTAGTACGTCCGGGCATGTTCTCGGAGTGAGAGCCGATGCCGCCAGCGGTGTGACCAGCAGTGCCGGTGGTAGAGCCTAGTCCACCAGTGGTGTGTCCAGCTCCGGTGCGTCGGGAGCTGTCGAGGTCGGAGTCAACGCGGGGGTCAGCAGCGTTGGCAGCACGGCTGCTGTGGGGGCCGACACTGCCCTCAGGAAGGCCAGAAGAGTGGCCGGTAGAGCCGAGTCCGGTGGAGTGGCCGGGCATGTTCTCGGAGTGGCGGCCAGTTCCGGTCATACCAGTTCCAGTCATACCGGTGTTGCCAGTCATGCCAGTAGTACGTCCGGGCATGTTCTCGGAGTGAGAGCCGATGCCGCCAGCGGTGTGACCAGCAGTGCCGGTGGTAGAGCCTAGTCCACCAGTGGTGTGTCCAGCTCCGGTGCGTCGGGAGCTGTCGAGGTCGGAGTCAACGCGGGGGTCAGCAGCGTTGGCAGCACGGCTGCTGTGGGGGCCGACACTGCCCTCAGGAAGGCCAGAAGAACGGCCCATGTTCTCGGAGTGAGATCCAATTCCGCCGGTAGTGTGGCCAGTAGTGCCAGTTGTAGAGCCTAGTCCACCAGTGGTGTGGCCAGCAGTGCCGGTGGTAGAGCCTAGTCCACCAGTGGTGTGTCCAGCTCCGGTGCGTCGGGAGCTGTCCAAGTCAGAGTCGACTCGGGGGTCAGCGGCGTTAGCAGCACGGCTGCTGTGGGGGCCGACACTGCCCTCAGGAAGGCCAGAAGAGGTGTTGTGAGTGTTGTGAGTGCCGTGGGTGTCGGTGGTGGTAGAGTCGTGCTTCTTATCCTTATCGGAGTGAATAGCTTCCTTAACCTTGTTGATGAGACCAGACATGATGATTGTTGTTTGTGGTGTAGTTGTTAAAAGTGTTTGAGTATCTTGTAGATGAGTTGTGATTGAGCTGAAGTTCAGATGCTTTTGGGTATCCTAAGAGTTGTTGTTGTTTATGATAATGAGGAAAAGATAATTCCGAGGAGGGATGCCCTGATTCTTATATAGTTGAGAATAGTCATCCTGGCGGCTTGCATCTCGATGGCTTCATCATCAACAAGTCACAAACTGGGCAGAGGACCTGACACACAAAGCCAAACACAAACTCTTGGGATTCTCACCTTCCTGGCTACCTCAGTTTGCGTCATAGCATTTACCCCGATCGTTGGAGAACTCCATGTCTCCCGCTTCAAGCTTCTCAGCATGGACTGCAATTGGTGGCGGAAGATGGCATATCAGCCAGGGACAATCTAGCGTCATGCCACGCGAGATATGACGTTGACGACTTGTAGGGCAGAAAGTATCAAGAGCTAGGCTCGAGCACTGGGAAGGGGAATTCTTGTTGTTCCAACAACGCCAAGAGTGCTGTTGTGGAGTAAGAGACGGGATTGTAAGAGAGATGACGAGGAGGCTCCGTGGCTGAAAGAGAGATCAACAGGTTGGTGTGATGCATGCCGTAAGCTAGCGGAGTCAAGCTGTGGCGAGTGACGGACCGTTGTGTGTTGTGGCCCAGGTGGCGTCAGCTACCCCGAAAGTGGACCAAAAATGCAAGATTCAGAAGCTCTTTAGCGCCGATTATAGTGAGACCTAGGCCCCCAAAGGTCCATGTTTTCTGCCATTACAGGGCTGCCCCCCGCTAATTTCTGGGTTTGAAACCAAGCTACCCCGCGGTTGAAGTCTTCAAAGAAGTTGGCAACAGCGTGTCGTGTCCAGGTCCACCAGCCACTTGAGAGCAAACCAAGGCAGAAGACGGGCAGGCACAGCACAGTGGAAATGACGCCAGGATAGTGGCCGTTTTTTCCGGACCCAGCCTAATCTAACCTAACTTGATGGAGAAGACAAAGACAAGACAGTACCTAGCAGCTTATGACAGCATGCCTCATTACATCCGGCGGGCCAAGACCTGCTGAGACGGTTCTAGATTCTTGTAGCACGGGTGAAAAGCAAGGTCACAAGGTATTACAGAAAAAACCGAGGCGGAGAATATCGTACTTGCCCCCTGTAAAAGATGCGCAAGCAGATAGGTACTAAGGTACTGACTGGCTTCCGTTCCTGTTTGCTAGGTGCTCTATGCCTACTAACAGTAACGCGTAAGACTGCCTGCCCCTGCGCCGGGAGACGGAACGAGGATTATTTTGGTCGTAGATCTCGATGATCATGGAAACAAGACGGAAGTCTTTGTTGGAGGCTGATCAGAACGAATCAGGCCAGGTTCGAGAAAGCTCGTGATCAAAATCCCAGGCATTTTAGTACAGTGTGTATGAATACTAGTTCATCTTCATCATTAGCACGACATGCAATTCCTGATGATCAGGTTCTGGCGAATAGTTGGTATGAAAGGATGGGGATTTGAAAAGACCGGATTAGATTTCGGTTCTATTGGTCTGCTAATTGCAGATCGTGACATTGAGCCCCCGTTGTTTCATGTTTGAAATATGCTTTGGATTCGTAAATATGACGTCGCATAGATAATAAAGCAAGACAGGATGAGATGAGAAAAGACAAGACATGAATGAAGCACAGAAAACAAGGGAGTACCCACGTTGATCGATTGGCGAGATAAATATAGTATACAGTGAGTAAGAAAAATACATTATATTGCATCGATTAGTAGGCAAAAGGCTAATAAGTCATATCCATTATTCGTAACAATCCAACCACTCCTTGGCATAGTATGTATCCGTCCGTATATCCTACCTAATCCGCGTTATACAACGCCAAGTTCCAACCCAAAAAAGACATCGACAAGAAAAACAAGGAAATCCTCCATCAAATTATGCATTAGTTCCCACATAGGCACGGTAACTCGGAATGTTTCACGTAATCCAATCACCGCCAAAGACCAACAGTCAGTTAGTCAACTTAGAATTAGATCACCGCCTAGCGCTTTTGGAAAAGTCTTCAGCGGACACGGAAAGCTTCAGGCTAATTGCTGCTGCAGACGGGCATGAGTTTAGACTCAAACTCTGCTGCGGAACCAAGGGCCTCGGCGACGGTTATGGTGGGCATCTTCGGCTCTTCGTGCAGTGCGCTCTCTCTTCCTGACCCAGAAGAAGCCGATAAGGGCAGAGACGAGCCAAAGGAGAGCTGAGAGGAAGCTGAATGCGATGACAGCCTTGGTCTTTCCGCACTGGTCTCCATGCACTGGGTGAACGTTGTCCCAGTCAAAGACACGACCGCAAGAGGTGCCGACAAGCTGTTGAATACCGTTAGTTCATGTTACCACTGCCGAGAATACTGTAAGCGACTCACATCGACGAGAAGACCGAATGCGATCCACCAGTTGATGGACATGAAAATGTCCAGAGGCCAGTGGACAAAGGTGCTCGAGAAGGGGATCAGAAGAAGTAGAGAAAAGAGTATGCCCAACGCGGCAACGACCTCGGTGTAGATAAAACGACCGAGTTGCCATGAGCTTGCACCGCGGGCATTGTGAAGGTATTCGCCGTTGACGCCAGCGACGATGGCCGCAAAGACAAGCTCTGCCGCTCGGAGGACCAAGCTGACAACACGATCGAGAGCCATAGCTAGCGATGCAGCTTATGATTTGCTGTGATAAAGTAGAGTTTCGGTGTGGTTCTTTTGGCTGAGGTTTCTGGGGATACTGCTACTCTTTTCTTAATCAATATCCCCGGGAACCACGCTGGTTATTTATTTGATCAACTCTTCAATACAACTCCTACATCTCTTGGCCACATGATAATGAATGACGACCTCCCTCAACAAACTCCTAAATTGAAGCCGGTTTGAGACAGTGTCTTGGCTCTGAAGCTCTTTGACACGTCTATCGTGGCTCATGACAGGTCATCAGTGCAACAAATTGCCAGATGAGGTCATGTGGACCAGGCCTCGGTGAGAGGTGTGGTGAGTAAAAACAACTACCATTCGGCAGATTCACTATGCATTGCCGTCCGTCCTAGAACAACAACCCTTTGTCTCTGGGCTGAAACACAAATGATGTCGCAAGCCAAGAACCATGATTCAAACGACTGGACAATCCATGCCTTCTTTTTTCTTGCACTCAGATGCCGTGATGCCGATGCCGATGCCACGCGCTTTTGCCAAGTAGGCTACCCTTGAGCCTCTTACATCGTCCAAGGCGCTTGATTTACAGCACATATCTTGGATAGAGCCAGAACTTTGACCTTTATTAGAATCACTCCAAAGTCGTAGACGGACGAAATGATCATGGTTATCAGGGAGTTTGCAGTCAATCGGTTAAAACTGCCAGCGCACAGTCGTTCATACTGCCATCAGATATAGTGAATGATGTAACAGTCTGCTAAATCACAGAAAGCCTGCTTCTTCTTACATACCAGACAAACGGTTTCCCTTTCATGACGATGTGACAACAGATGGAAAGTTCCCTTTTCCTTGTCTGATTGGATGTTGTTGTCGTAACCTTGAGTATCAAAGCAACTCTTGGATGCGACGCTGAAAGCGCAAAACATGAGTTCAAGCGCATTCAGAAGCCTGTTTTCGGCAAATACTCTGAATAAAATTTTATTAAAAAAACATCATTGTGTTTTTGTAGTACAAATTGTCCAGCCAACTAAATGGTAGTTGTTTGACTATCTCTATTGCCGTAGCAGTGAATACACTCAAACTTCACACGCTATATCACAGAAAGACAAACTTAAGATCGCAAACACATTTTAAGAAATTAAATATTATTAAAATTCATTTCTATTGATCACATCACTTAGCATAATAATATAAGCAAAGTCTATGCTATGCATACTTATAAGCATATCTGTACAATGCTTATTAATCACATGAACAAATCCTACCCTAAACACTCCAAACTCAAGATTGCAGCCTTACCAGGTATTACGCCGTGCCTCACTCAGTCGACATCTTTGACAACCCGTAACGGCCAACTCACAAACTCCACCATGCCCTCGTAATAATGTCTTCAACCATCCCGCAGGCTCTTTGGAGCGCCCAAATTCCGCTGCACATTACACATCCTGCCTCACCGACAACGCCTTTCATCACCAGTATTCCACGCTTCAGCTACCTGGCTCTTCTTATACCCAGACTATCGACTTTCTTCAACTCTCCTTGCTCGAGCTTTCACTTTGAAGATGTTCAGCTAAGGAATCTGGCAGTTGGTTTGCTGGTTGACCTATATCAACCCGGTCTGCCATGGAGATTGACTGTGAATGATGGAGTGGGCTGGGACATCGCAGATACGTTTCTCAACTGTGTAAAAGAAGTGAGTATTGGGAATATAGAAATAGGGAGCTAGGTTATGGTTTATATGGATAACCCGGTGGACGTGATATATGCTTTAGACAAGACGCTAACTCGCATAGGCGGACTTTATTCGAAATGGTAACGCAAACCAAATCATGAAGATGTCGAAAGAGAATACCACTCAACTATGGAACGCAGTCATAGACAATGATCAAACTTCTTTCAACCGCATCAACAGTCGTCTCCTCAACGCACCTACAGCACTCAAGCACGTCCCTATCCGCATTTATGTTCCCACCAGCGGACCAGACTCATCAGCAACACACCCAGAGCACGCCACATTCAAAGTCATCCAATCTCTCATGGCCGTGACAAGTTCAGACCGTCGCCCCAAACTTCTAGGACAAGCGCTAAAGGAGGTACTGCCTGGCCTTTTCCTAAGCAGTCGTGATCCCATTCTCGCAAAGGTGGTGATGCACGGCGCTGGTGTGCCGTTTAATGCACCTCTGGAAGAACTGATGCGTGAAGCTGCGTACCCGGATGGCTGGTTGTGCCTAGTCGTTGTTGTTTTGTGATGGAACCGGGATCGTTATATCACAGGGCGTGTATGGCGTTTGGGCGGAGTTCTGTCACTTCATCAACGACGTGTAGACTACTGGTGTCACGGAAGCGTCGTTGCCGCATTATACCATGAATTTGAAGCCACTTGGCGATTAACATTTTGTAATTTATTGGCTTGACAATGCTCGAGAACAAAAATCCATGCTCTATACTACGTAAAGGTGATCTTTTTGCCCATGAGACTCTTGTAGGCGTCGTCAACGGCCTTTCTCTTCCGCTGCTTCACTTCTTCATCCTCTTGTATTTCCTCCTCCTCATCCACATCTTCGGGACCTGGCATTTGAGGTGCCCAGGCCCGAATCTGCCCATCCATATGAGAACTGTACACAGCTCCAATAGAGTTCCCGCCGCCCATAACAGGCCCAGCAGGACGTCCTGACCCGCCGGATGAGCGCCAGGCTATGCCTGTTATTTTATTCCGCCCCATTTCACTACCTTGTGGCCCTACAGGGTTTGTCACGCCCGGACTTCGGAGTCGCTTTACAATATTGCCATCATGGAGATCAAGGATGAGAATCTCCTGATCATTTGGCCAAAACAGAAAGTTGTTTCCGGTCGAGAGGTGAGACGGAGTTACCAAGATACTTGCTGTCTTTGCGTGTTGGTTCTGAATCAAGGAGCCAAAGCTTGCAAGAGTGTTCGCCCCTGTAGCAGCGTCCCATACACGAATGCGACGGTCAAGGCCCGCTGATATGATATACCTCCCATCGTCTGTCCACTGTAGACCATTTACTGCATCGTCATGTGCCTGGGAAGAGGCGCGGAAATGCGGGATCTGGCTCGAGTCTACGCCTACCGCACTTAGATGCTTCATCTTATGAACAATGCCCAACGAATCCTCTTGATCCAGTAATGCGACGACGCCACCAGCACGCCTGATATCCCATATTCGAGCTTTACCGTCTGCATGTCCACTAACAAGGATGTGCTCGTGACGCGGACTCCACGCTGTTGACAGTACAGGGCCGCCGTGGGCCACAAGAGCTTGTATTGCAGACCCAGACTTCAAGTCTACCAGTCGGACTGCCGAGTTCTGCGTGGCGCATGCAACAACTAGATGGTCCGCGATGGGACTTGTTGAGTGGGAGTATATTGTTGCATTAAGATCAAATGTTGCCGATAGGGTGCAGCGTTGCGTGGCCCATAGCTTCAGCTTTTTATCATAAGAACTTGAGAGGAAAGCATCCGGGTCGAAAGGGTAAAATGCGATGTGTGTGATGCCGTGGCTATGCCCTGGAGAATTCTCTTCCCTTGTAGACCTTGCTATACTGCTCACGGGGCGAAAGTTGTGCACCTTGTGAGGGTTTCCACCAGCTTCGAGATCCCATACCTTGATACCTCCCTCGGCACCACCTGATAGAAGGATCCGGCCATCGAATTTCTCTAGAGCAATACTGTTGACGCCCGCTCCGTGAGCTTTGATGTTGTGAGCACGTTCATCTACGCCTGCGGGATCAGGTCTCGCTGTTCTCTCGCCATTAAAGCGATACTGAGGCGCTGGCGCAAACGAACGAAGTAGTTCAGAAGTTATAGAGCGGCTGAAGTCCTGAGGGGCAAAATCGCCCACTTCACGAGCAAGGAGACTGGACTGCATTCATTTGGGTTGTACGAGAAACAAAGTTGTAGATAGGATGTTATAGTACCCAAAATTACTATAGACTTAATGACTGTACCTGTTGGAGGTTGAATTGACGATGCTAGCTGATGATGTCAGCTGGAAGGAGGGTCGGGCGGAGGACTAACTAACTCACTGATGACTCCACAATTTACAACCTAAACTTTGCTTCTTCAAAAGCCTTAACTCAACAACATCAATAAAATTAGAACCATAATTGGTCATATACGTCTTCCTGCCAGGCGTTTTATCCTTTTGTGCTGGAACTATATACTCGCAACAGGATTGTCCCACAAACAATGCACATCCGTGGATACAATGAGTACCTGAAAACCACAATCTTTTCTTCACCTTGAAACAAACACTGGCCTGCGGAACAGCCTCATACTACATTGTCATCGCTATGGATATCTCCAAGGGTCGCACGCGGATAGTACCCGTACATGAAAGAGATTTGTCCTCCGAAAGAGGTAGCCTAACCGCCGAAGAACATCTTAACAGAGGAACGAAACGCAGACATGCGACTGTCTACGACGCTGTAGCAGGTAATCTTTATGTTCCTTTCCTATGCCTATAGCATTAAGCTCACATAAACCAGGTAAAGTTTCACATGATCAAGGCCCCGGTACAGAGGCGGAGGAAGCTCAGTACACACCTCGCCATCCAAAGTCCATCAGATACTCCACGAAGGACGTTCCTTTGGCCCCCGATGAAGTCCTCTTCAGACGAAAAGACGCACCCGAGCGTTATCTGGAGCACGACATATACTATTCTCATGAGCGCGATCTTCCCCGCGGTGGTCAGGGTGTTCTACCAGAAAGTGATCTTCTGAAAGCTATTCATGCATATACCAGCTCATTCTACAGCGCGAGAAACCGCGACCGTCAGGCCATAGATGACAGGAACGTCACTGACCGAAGCATGGATGAAACGGCCCTTTTGGCGTTTGGTATCCTGCTTGAGGAAGCTGGGAAAGAGGTCCTTGGGCGACGAGGTGACCTTGTCTTTACTGAGGGCGCAGATGACGCTCCTGAAAATGGACCCGAGCCAGCCCGTGACACCACCCAATTCGTTGGACACCACGACATCTCTCTGCGAGGACGACCAAAACGAAGAAAGGTGGCCAATAGCGATATGGAGTGACGCAAATCGTTGCTTCGATTGGATGGCCTTTCCAACTTCCGTCGTCTTGACTACGGACCTATCCAAACTCTCATAATGGAAGGTGGTTGAACTTCAAAAACCCTGCTTGGTCGTTGAAACAGCTGGCTACAGCCGATAATATGATATATCGCTGGGCTTTATAAGTCAGAGCTTGATGTTTGGCTCATTTTGAAACACTATGGTGCGATGCGAAGCCTTGGAAAAGCACTGACTGGACTTGTTCTTGCTTAGTGGTGGAATATCAGCTACTGGCATGAATTCACCAGCTGTTAATAACCCAAGGTACGAAACATGTGACCGGATCTGCGGCGTGACTTATGAAAGTTGTTTATCAGAATGTACCTGCCTGCTCTGTGCAACTTATTAGCCACCCAGGCCTATATCAAGACAGCAGCGTTGCAGTCAGCTTGGTTACACAAAAAGAACGTCAGCAGTCCCGTTCCGGCAGCAGATTATCAACATCGGATCGCTTGGTCGCGCCGGATTACCGTACGGTGCCACAGTAACCCGTTTGCAGAGACTTCGGCAAAGCGTTTTGAGGAATTATATGGAATATCGACCAAGTGACGATACAGGGTACCTTTGTTTACATGCTCACTCCGGGAAGGGATTGGTTAACTACCGAAATGCTAAATAATACCAAACGAATTGATTCGGTGTATCAAATGTCCCACTTTCAGAACGGACTACAAAAAACCCTGAAATTGACAATTCTGCCTACCCTGGTTTTTACGAAGAAGGATGATGGCCGTGACATCCCAGCCCGACTGAGCGTGGGTGTGCCATTTTGGACCCGACGTTTGGGTAACGCAAATATACCTTCAAGGTTTCTTCTGGCTTGCTACTTGTTCTCAGAAGCTGCCTCTTTGATGGAAGATCCTCAGGATTCTATTATCGGCCTATCCTCAGGGTGTCTAGTTCAGCCTGAAGCCGGCAGAAACAGCTCGGCATCCATCATAATGGGAAAACCGGAGTCTCGTTTCGCAAATGGAAGTCGGTCAATCTCCATCAGGGCATGCTGTCGATCGGTCTATGAAATTTCAATCTTCTTCAACCAAGTATCCTTGCCCTCGGGTCTGATGTACACACCACATAACTACCCTGAGCCTTTTCATCTCATCATATCCTTTGTCATCATTTTCTCGCGCCCAGGAACGTCGACCAGCGTGGCGAAGCATACAAAGTTTGAACAACTGTTTGTGACGTACAATGTACTTTGACTGATATCCAATGACCGTTACCTCTGGGTAAGTACAGGCATTTACGTCGGGACCAAGAAACTAAGAAACAGGCCACTTTGATCTAGGTGTTAAACCTTGTCTCATCTACGGAAGAAGCAATGAATGGGCTTTTCGTTCAATGCCAAACGGTATATGGAGCCAGTGTACAGAGTACCAATCAACGCAATATCACTTTTGCACCTCGGCAGGCTCAGCTCTTGAATATCACGACACGGACCTCTCCTCAGCTACAATGGCGTAGGATCGACCTCTGAGCATCACAAGGCTGTCGAGTTTGCAGGCACGTCTCCGAGATTTTGCGTGAGGCTGCAGCGAAACCAGCCCTTGTTGTTCTAGAGCCAACGTTGACTCGTGTACAGAAGTTGACCCGTCTCCAAAAGCCGTTACAGAGCCTGATTGCGCCTTCATACATGCATACTTACATACATACACACACATGCATCACCCTCCAGCCGTTGATTGACATAATATTTGCCATTTCTGGACATCAAATGCGGCGTTTAGCCTCAATCCCACTGTATCAGCGATGGAAACAACAATCCTGTATACCGGTGCAGCCTTACTGCTACGTTCTGCCTTCGAGAAAAATACGGAGCAAGTTATTTGCATACAAGACATAATTGGTTGTCACATCATCACGGTTGTAATAGTGATTCAGCAATTTCGGTTGATGGTACTAAAAAGATCAGCAGACTGGAGCCGTGGGTTCAGAAATGGGGAAACGTCCGCTTTAAACGCGTCGCGCGACTCAACCCCGAGATCCTAGACCATGTTATGAACACGAGAACTCAAGGAACCATGACGCTGTAGCAATCACAAATCGAGGTGTGCCCGAACGTTGTCATCATGTCCCGACCTCGTCGCATGTTGGTGACGAGACGAATGAACAAACGTAGCAAACAAAGTCAGCCAAGCAAGAGGGTGCACTACACAACAGTCATGGGATCGGTCTCTTCAGCTGCATTGCATTGCATTGCATCGTACTCGATTAGCTGCCGATTAACTTAGAGAAACTTGGACTTGTCGGCCACGTACTTGTTGCATTCGTTCGGGACTTGAACTTATCTCTTTGCCGCAGTATTAGAGCTTCCGCTTAGGCCTGGTGAGATGATGTGATATCAACAAATCATATCATGGCGTGGCGTTTCTAATGCAATATCGGTTGCACGTGTTGAACATAGTACCCAGGTCATGTGGTTGTGTTGATCAATCAGCAACTCGACAAGCACAAAGTTTGTATCGCAATCCCCGCTCGTAATAGTATTCGGTGACTGGTGCCAATAACATCTCATTATTCCCCGCATCGGTGTGCAAATTGTCTCTCGTGACTCGGATGGCACAGTGATGATAACAGCAACATGTTTGTTGTTGACCGTGAAGTTTGGAGATTGATACGATCAAGATCCGAGTTCAAATCTAAACCTGATGAGTCTCAGTCTCAGTATCAGTTGGACCGACTTCTCTCGTGCGTGTGGCTTCGGGTACCTGGGCTGGTATCGTGCCAAGTACACACACACCAGTATGCTAACGACAAGGTTTGTCTTATTAGAACTGAGACATGGTACTGTTAGTGCTGTTGCGTTGGATTTCAGGTTACGGACAGAAGCCATGACTCTGCCAAGCAGATCAATCAGAGGCACGGAATTCCTATACGTGCTATTCGGTTTAACACGGTGATTTGACAGTATGTACCGTGCGGTAGTCGCCCCTTGAATTTAGCCTGAGGGATCATCATACATCCATAATTCAACCACAATGGTAAGCGTGATGCTTGTCTTGCTGCCTTGGCTGATGCATATCTCTCTATACGTGGTGATTCTATTGCCAAGTTTGACAATCGAATCCGTAATACATCCCAGAGATTGGGGCTTCGGTCTGAGCAGGGTTATGTCAGTTGCAGTTGTGGATGGGTTTCAGGATCCATGGAGTTTTATAGATATCGCACCTATCTACAGAGAATACCCTATACCTCTCCAGTAGTTAGTTAGGTGTCATCACCACCACCTTTATCTTACAGTAGGCAATGATGCGAAATTAAAGAATTGGGTAGAACGAGCTTTGCATGGCATATGGATATCAATTGACCATACCTTATATCATTCAAACCCAACTTGATACCTTTGTGAAGCAATTTGGTTTCAGTATAAATGAAGTGATATGTAGTTCTTATGTTATCTTCTGGAATAACGTCGCAAGCATGGGTGTCATGCACGAGACAGTATTTACAACGCTTGTGTATTTTCGCGTACTCGATAGGATACGCATAGGCAGGCAGTTCCCAATACGAACATGTTTGTTTACTCGCTTAAAAGAGAGACCTGCTGTAATTTGCTGCAATTTGTCATACCCATCCCGGTGTTCGAGCAAGGGAAGGCCATGACATGCTGAAGCGACGGTTTATTATCACTAACATGGACACGGCACCTCCAATGTCTCAGCTCCCAAACGAGTGTTAATACGTGCAGATGGACAAAACGTTGTAGTGCATCGAGTATGCCAGCAAGTTGTCAGAAGAAAAATAAATAAATAAATAGTGTCTATACCTGCCAACAACTTGGCGATTTGCTACCGATTGTTGAAATAAACTTCTTTTTTTAGTCCTTCCTCAAATATTATCGACATGCTTTGGGACAAAATATGGAAATCGGTCGTAGATCGCTCTTATTCATTCACCTTGGCGGTATTCCGGCGTGCCGCTTAGTCACGGCGATTCTTTCACTCACCATTCAGCTAAAATAGCGAATGTACAATAGGTAGTGAAATGAGTTTCCGACCAAAGATCGTATCGTTCCGTACAGTAGCGTACGGAACTCAAAGAAACCGATTCCGGGTTCGCACCGGCCCGCAGGCGGCTCCCTTCTGTTGGGTCTCGAGGATCCTTTTGCGAGACAGTCAAGACTCTCACATCCATCTCTAGCCGGAACGAGAACTGACTCGTTGCTGTGGTTTTGCTTTTCCCTGCAGTCGTTTCCTCCCCCCTTGCTTCTGCTGCCATGCCTGCAAGTCGGACTCGACTCTGAGAGGTCAACTTGACCCAGTTCCACGTCGTCGGTGCCCCTCCTGTTTCTGTCGGTGTGTGGCTTGCTCATTCCAGCTACCGTTACTGTACATTGCGTCGCAGTACTGCACTGCACTGTATTGNTACAGTCCCGCTGCTGTGAGACTGTTGACATCAGAGGAACACTACGACCCTCATCCTCACACGTATGTACCACCCTCATCACCCAGCCAGAATCCTATTCCAATTCAGACATCTCCCCCCCCCCTGCTTCGTGTGCGCATGACGTCGCATTTAACGACGCCAACCTCCCAGACTTCATTTTTAGCGGCGTCCCAGAGATCTGGAAAGCTCAAAAGACAGGCGCTCACCGTTCCCAGCCAGGGTCTAATACCGGACCTCCCGTTGAGGGCTTCAACAAAGTAAATGCACAGCAGCAGATCAATGACATGTATCTACGTATCTCACACCTTCGTCACGTCACAGACGTGTAAACACTCAGAATGACATTCCACAATGTCCTGGCTCATGGGCTGTGATCCCAGGATGCAGTATGCGCTAGAAGGATCATCTCGACCAATGGTTTGAACAGGACCCGATGTGCTGTTCTCTAAGAATCTGGGCTATCTTATGACAGTACCTGAGCCCTAGACGGACAATATGCCTAAGCAAGGCGAGGAGCCGGTGTGACATTTTGCAAATACTAATAGTGCCAGGGCAGACATTATACGTGCATCATCGTGTTTCTGATACTGATGGAGCTTCCTGCCTCTGATTTTATCAAGGATACGGCAATACTGCAAAGTTTACTATGAGTCCCTTCTCCCGTTTGGCAAAACGTTGAGATTGTGATTCACAACCCTGGCCAGAGGCGAAAGTTGGGCACGAATGCCAGTTCGTACCGACGGGTTGAAGAAGTACACACCTACGGATACTGTATAATGTAGTCTGATGAATGTTAGCGAGTGACCTTACGATAAGGCCCCTTGGGTACGGGATCGATCATGCCAGGTACAGGTACACTGATACTTCTAGGGGCGATTTTCTTTAACTGGGCGGCGATGTCTAGGTGTGTGCACGCTCCTCTCGGCCGATTCGACAGCCAAGCTGAGGCTATTAGCCTGGGTACCTGGGGCTGCTCGGCGAGTCAGATTGAGCGCGTCTTTGAGCCCCGCGGAGGGTTTATCTTTTTCTCTCTCACGCGGGATGTCTTGAATCAATGTGTCTATGTGCGGAGTATAATCACCAGAGATCCTAAAAGGATGTTTTGATGGATCTCCAAGCGACGATTTCATGCACTCCCCATGCAAGAAATGTATGCTGTGACAAAATGACTGCCAGTCCCAGTAAACTCAAACCGACGGCACGGTGTCTAAAATGATCTGTATCCATAAATCCAAGACACCGACCGGGCCTAAGAGTAGCAGATGAGGCCATGTCACGTTCCAGAAGCCTTTTTGAGCAAGGGCACCGTTGTTGGTGACTTGGCGAACCGATATGAGCATGGCCGGGATCCCCGCCTTCCAGACGTTTGAAGGGAACGTTAGGAACGTTGGAAAACAGGAAGCTACCCTAGCACGCATATAATTCCAAAAGAGACCTGCAGCAAATGGTGCATGAGTTGATATCATCCTCCATGCGGTGAATCAATGAGATCCACTGGCAGAGAATTGTTGGAGATTCACCGTATCTGCTTGTAAAGAGATCAAGGAGCGGTGACGGCCATTGCCTCATCGTGACTTGCTGGCAACTCAATGTAGGTGGTGGTGAGCAGTCAAGTCTTGCTAGTTGCGCATTAGCTAGCAACTTAGGTGATACCGGGCCTGCTATCTCACTTTGTCGGTCAGAGTAAGAGCATAAAGAGCTAGGAGTTGTGCTATGCCTTCCGTTCGTGGTCTGGCTTCCTCGAAGACAACATTAGTTAAGTACTTAGATTGAGAGTTGCTGTGAACTGAAAATCTCATCGGATGAACGCTGAGACAGGTCAAAGCGTTGGCTGGGACCGGGCCATTCAGATAATCACTGCCAGGGTTTTCTCTGTGATTGTGAGCAATCTCGTTGGTTTTGCACGGCACGGATATGGTTTTTCACCCAGCGACAATGTCATTGAGTAAATGAATAAGTCCTCTCTCATGACGGCCATCTCTCCCTGCAAGCACTGGGCGAGAGAGCCCGAAGATTATTGAAAGATACTACAGTTCCATCCATGGTGATCAAATTAGAGTGGAGCATGCCCCCATCTTAATGGCGTTTTTTTGTCGATGCGTCGAATATTGGAAGGATGCATGGAAGAAGAAAAGGTAGGCCGAGTCCAAGTCCGCCTAGCCCGTTCAGCTCGCTTGAATTTTGACAACTGCGGTATTGCACGATCCACAACCTGCATTGTCAAGCATATTGCCATTTTGACCATGTAGAATAAAAGAACGATGGCAGTCTGTCGGTAGCACTACGTGCAAGATGGTTTGGACAGAAAATCCGGGGAGGAGGATACCGACTAAAATCCAGTGCTGAACCGCAAGAGATCATCGCATTGTGAAACAAGAGCAAACAGAATCCATCATGATGTGCTGTTGAGTCAGGAGAGGATTCGGCAACCGAGCTTTGACCTGAATTGCTGTATGCACGTATGTACTCGTGCTCAACGCTCGAGCAACTCAAGGTGGTGGTAATATCCACTGACCCATGGGAGCAAGATGATCGACAAGGTCTTTCCAGGGGGCGGTTACTGGACAGCTGCTGTTGGCTCAGAAGTCCCGTCTGAATGGATACTCTGTGTCCTAGAAGTGAGCTAGGTATTGTCCTGCTTGTCCCCGTACATTTTTCTTATTAAAGACTCGGCAAGTGGTTTCTGCATGACACAAAGTTCAGCAGCGCTTTTGGGTGTCGGCACCCCAATAGACATTGCAACATGTTGAGATGGCGGTGCTGCTTGGGTATATCAATGTGCAACGGGCCGTAGGCAGACCGAAGCTAACGATTCAGAGCCTCATTGATCGTGTTTATTGATTGCAAATTGCGTTGTAGGCAGTCATGACGTCTTTGCCAAAATAAGAAGTGAGGTTGGGAGAGCACAGCTCGAGTAATGGTCTTTGCTTGAAATGTGAATGATTTCCATTCGGCCCCAAGTTGATTGTTGATGACGATAACCAATATGTTGGACATGTCCTTCGTACCTGCCCAGACACTAACTAAAATACTGCCAAGATAATTTGCGAGATACCTGAGGTAGGAGGGAAGGCCAAGAGCGGAACCCAGCCGCATGGGAGGAAGGAGCAATCTGGCGCAAGCTCACACCGAGGAAGAGGTTGAGGGAAAAAGAAAAGCAACTGCCTACTACCTACTTACTACGTACCTAATGATCCCCTGGTATGTATATGCTTACTTCCGCTTCAAGAGTCACCTGCAACATTTCACGTGGTTCCGTCCGTCTCGGAGAAACCGCACCGCACCGCACCGCATTGCAGAGCAGCGCTGCATTGCACTGTACAGGTGCTGGGGCCGGGCAAGGAATCGCCGAGCCAGGGAGATACAGACCTTTTGTCAATGATTGATTGTGATTGTACACCCACCGTGATGATCAGTGTCTGTGCTATCAAGTACAGGACAAATTGAGGCAGTGGAGGATGCTCCATGTCGGTACTGAACGGACTCAAGAACTAATCACAGAAGCGATCTTATGAGAGGGGGAAGAATGTAAGACCTGTCGGATCTGAATGTACCGAGAATATGGATGCACCATGCTCAAGGGTCTTTGTGAACGATACATTACCTAGACTAGCGACTTGGGCCCCTCACATATACGTATTTTACGTATTGCATGGATACGTACAGTACATTGGAGTTATTGTATGGATAAAACAGCATGGCCAAGTAACTCATGCATTCACTTACACAGCAGCGCCGGTCGACGTTGGGTATCAAGATCCGTTATCTTTCACCTCTTTTCAACGGCCCGTAATAGACCGGTAAACCTTGTTCTCCATGATCTGCAACTCCAGTGTCCGTAGTGGTGGTAAATGTATACATACATATATACAAAGCTTTTAGACTGGACATGAGAGGAGTCATTGTATGTGTCTGTCCGTCTCCTTCTCGCGCTCCGAGTTTCACCAAACTTTACTAATGAATGGATTTTAAGCTCACCCCACGAATGATAAATCCAAGCTCTCGTTTGACCTACTGTAACGTTGGATACTCTTGTTACTGTCCCCAAGTGAGTGAGGAAATACTGGGCATGGTAACGGTAGTATTACTGTGTTTATCACATGGATTATAGCGAGTAGATTACACAGAGATGAATTCGAGTTACGTACAGCATGATTTGCGCTTGCTGGTGCATCATATCGCGCGGCATAAGCTAAGTATCGGTGGTAGGTAGTAGGTAAATTTCTAACACCAAAGTTTGCCCACCAAGATATCCACTACAGTTTCAGGAAGAAAGGAAAAAAAAAACTCTGCGAGACAACTGCGCTAGGCCTGAGAGACATATCCGTTGTGCGCTACACGACGCCTTCCAGGAGTTGGGCTCCACGCCGCGACCACGAGGCCTCCACTGTAACTCAGCGCACCACCATAATCTCCCTCGTTTACCACTTTACCTTTACTGACCTCCACCCAGCCATCATCTCCGTCTGGAGCTTGTACCTTTTGGTTCGAACGGTCCGTCGCATGGCCTCTCGTGAGCATCCATCCATCCATTTCAAAGTTGCGGTGTTGACCAAGTTCCATCGCATGTCGCGCTTGATTGCATTTACATATGTAGGTATGCGCAGCACTATCTATCCAGTAGGTAGTGATTGAGTGGGCTTTCGCTTGCTTACATGCTTATCTGCTTACCTGCTCTAGTACAGTCAGTCGGTGCCCTTCTTTGTTCATGTACATACATACTTTGTATCCTACCACGACGTTTTTACCCGCTTCGTTGACCGTATGCGGCAACCATCGACCGACCTAAACCCCAATTATTCACTCAGCTACAGACTACGGCACCGTACCGTACAGTGCATACCAGCCTAAAGCAAAGGGTATAGTTTACGCAAGGGCAACAAAAGAAAACACTAGACCGCACCAGCGGGTAGCGACGTCTGTCTGTCTACCTACTACAGCGACCAGAAAAGCTGCAGGCCACTGTGTTGTACAGCTCGCGGTTCCAGGTACAGTTACTTTCATCTCCCTGCTGGAAACTCTTCCTCCACTTGGTTTGCGGTGCATGGGGTGGCAGAAAAAAACGGGCAGCAGGGGTCCGCCAAAGGAAAAAAAAAAAAAAAGAGTCTTCGCCGACATCATCCCCCAGTCACAGCCAGGCATCTAGGTTCCTTGACCCCCTGGTCTTGTTTAGCCTCCTCCGACTGTCAACTCGGCAGGGTCGGTTCGTCAACTGGCTCAAAATCTACCTGCGTCTGGCCCGCCCAAGCCCGCCCACCCCCGGCAGACCGTCTTTTGTGCCTTGGGGTTTGAGGCTGTCGGTCCCAGATTTGCGCTCGACTTGAAGTCGACATCATACTTGTCCAAGAATCGATCCGTTCGCTCACCAAATTTGCGCCTTTCTTCCCTCAATCCCCAGCTCTCCCACAGTCCCGAGCGCGTACCTTTGCATCGCTCACGCTGCCCTTGCTTCTCACTGTGCAATACAATTCGTTTCGACCAGCGTCGCGTCTGTGCTCCCCCACCGCTGTCCGTCTCCCAGGTACCGAAAGAGCTTGTCGAATCTCCATCTCGTCTCTGCCCAACTGCTGATCCTACCGCGTCACCGGGGCCCGGGCTGGCTGGAAGAGTCTACTCGACATCTCGTTTCTCTCTTCCTGTCTCTCTACCTCTCTCAAACCTCACTCACTTCTCACTGACGGGTACGGTACTTCGTACACATACATGTCATCATACCCAGTCGTTTCAGACACGCCCACCCCCATGCTTTCCTGGTCTCTCAACCTCTCTTGCTGAAGGGCCCAATTATCACCCGCCCCTCCAGCTTCCAAAGCAATTGGAAGCTTCACTTCACTCCCCGGGGCTTTCTTTTTGTTTCGCCTCTGCCATTATCCTCTCGTACCTATCCATGGCCACCGCCTCTACGTGGTCCCTGCTTTTCTCTTCGCCTTGTTCCTGATTATGTGTGCAAGTACTACAATACATATATAGTACTCAAGCATGGATCCAGCACCTCCCGATAGTAAACGTCCGCGCCTCTCTTCGTGGCCTGTCGGTACACCTCAACAAGGAGTATCACTACCACATCCTCACGCTCATCAACTTCCACCACCGCCTCCGCCTCCGCCCGGCGCTCTACATCACCCTCATCCTCCCCCGAGCCCGTATCAGCATTATCCTCCACGACCTATCGAGCATTCTTCAGCTCCACCGACGCCTTCTCACGCTGCGCCAGCGCAACCGCATCACGAATCCGATCGTCGCCATCATGAGCCAGAGCCTTATCCTCCTGTTCAAGAATACCACCGGCAGCAACACCCACATCAACATCCACCGCAACATCCACACCAGCACCCGCAGCAACATCCGCATCCGCAACAGCACCCGTCTCTGCCTCCATCGCCGGCGCATCCAGCGCATCACCCGTACCCGCCCTACGGCCCAAGAGATCCTCCGATAAAACGAGACCCTGCCAAGGATCAACGCCGACCTAATTCGACGGGCCATGCGCCCGAGGGGATGTCGTCCACACCACATCTCCCGCCGACTTCACTTCCACCACCACCGCCTCCTGGCGCATACTCGGATAACTCGCGACACATGAATTACGATAGCGCGCCTTCCATGCCCCCGACTCCGGGTGGCTATCGTGCGCCCAGCTACCCTCCACCCACCCCTGTACCTCATCAAGCATCTTACGAGCAACATGGATATTCCTCAGGCCACGAGCCATTCTATAGTGTGTATTCGTCGTCTGTACCCGCCAAGAAGAAGAACACGCGAGCTTCCCAGGTACTATTCCCTCTAGCCGTCAAACCGTTTAAATGTTAACAAGGAGCAGGCGTGTGATAGCTGTCGGCAGTTGAAGGCTAAGTGTGATGAGACAAAGCCATGCAAAACTTGTAAAGAAAAGGGCGTGGAGTGCAAATACCGTGACCCCGTTCCTAAAGCGTAGGTTTAATAACTTCATTTCTCACGGATGTCATAACTAAATACGGGAAATAGCACGGATAAGGCTCAAGCCGACATTCTAGATGGTCTCAGCACCGTCCAGACCACACTCAATTCGATCATTTCTCATTTGGGACGGGTTGATCAAAGGATGATCAAGATGGAGTCGGTTCTGCCAAAACATCTTCTGGCATCAACGCTCAAAACCGAACCAACCGTTGAAGAAGAGTTCAAACGAGCGCCAGCATCGCCTTATGTGGCCAACGGCGCTTCTGCCGACCCCTACTATGCCGATGCTCACCGCGATCACCCCTCATCGGAATCTATGCCACTTCGTATGATGGCTGAAGATGAGATGGAGGTGGAGCCCGGTCCGCCCGTACCTCCTGGAGAGCCTGCTATTCCTATTAATCACACGACATTGGCCGGACTACTTTTAGAATGGCCGTCTGTTCGTGAGCTGACAAAACATCACATCGAGCGAGAGGGTATTCGATATATCAGCGAGTATCCCATCAGCCAGGAGCAAAACCGCGGAGTCCTGATTGTTTATGGACGAGGCGAAGATTCTCACCCTTCGCGACACGTCCGGGAACCGACCGACCATGGCAACCTGGATATGGCTGACGATTCATCCGATATGGCATCTCCTTCACCGGCGGCCGATTGGGGTCAACTAGGTGGACTCAGTCCTCCCGATCAAGTGGAATACAAGGGCGGCGTCCTGGCATTTGACGGAAACCCTGACTTCTCAGAGTCGAAAGTGTGGGCGTATGTCGAGAGTTTCAAAGAAAACATCCTTAACATGCACCCTATCATACAGCCCAAGCTACTAGATTACTGGGTCAGGCACTTTCTTGATAATCTCCCAGCCTCACACCCACGATCCGCAAAGCCACAAGCATCCAAGCCTACGTTTGCTGTTGGGGGAGGTTCACAGACGCCAGAAGCTGCAGGCTCAAAAAGGAAACGATCGCCAGGGCCGGATGGTTCCGAGCCACCCACACCCGCGCCACAACGTGCTGGCCGACCAGATCGGTCCATCCACAGCGCTCTAGTCCTCACCGTTCTGGCCTTGGGTAAGGTTTGCCTTCACCGTGAGAACGTACCTGATGTCGTCCACCCTACCGAACAGCTTCCCCATGGTAGCCCGGCCATTCGCAACGGAGCCATCCCGCCTTCACCCAACCAAGGCTCTCCTCCGGGATACTCATCCCACTCGCACTCTTCAGGCCTGCCATCCCCTAAGGAGCAAGAAAGAAACGTACACAGTCGTCGATCATCCATTCATGGCGTGGGCGGCTTCCGCTCCGGCTTTAGCTTGAAAAAGAACTATGAGGTGATACCGGGTTTAGAGTATTTTGCATATGCCACTGATATTCTTGGAAACCATCTTGGCGCGTATAACAACATGAAGAATGTTTATGCCAACATCTTCGCTGGGTTATATCACGGTCAGCTGGGCAGACCGATGGAAAGTTTTGCCTTCATTCACAAAGCCAGCCACAAGCTGCAGGTCATCATGAGACCGTAAGTTTTGGGAAACCTAATTAAAAGGCTATCGACGACTAATCAGATCACAGGAGCTTAGATAAGATGAGACGAATTAAGCGGAACAGCGAATTCATCCAGGAGACTAAGTACAACCAGCTTGCTCTGACTTTCTGGACCTGTCTGCAGCTTGAGAGTGATCTCATTGCTGAAATGCAACTTCCACCATCTGGACTGCTATCTTATGAAGACGACATGCCGCACCCCAACATGAGTCTCTTGGAAGGCTTCAACCAACGCATTCTAGACAGCTACCCAGGCCAATTGTATCTGAGAACCCACTTGAACAGCATACATCGGATGTTCTATGCACCCGAAGACCCCGGAAAAGGAGGCAAGGATAAGTTCAGAAATGTGGGTGTCGTATCTGACGCTGTTTCTGGCATGCACTGGGTCGCACCAAGCTTCGCATTTCGAGAGGATGACCCACCAGCCGACGATATCTTGGCTGCAAGATTGCGGGCGAAGTACTGGGGCGCTCAGGTTATTACCTATCGCCCCTTTATCCGACAGATTCTCCAGTTCTCGCACTCGATCAAAAATCATGCTTCGAGTCCTAACTTCCCTAGCGTCAGCTCGGAATTTCGACAAGACGTCACTGCGCCTGTCATTCACCCTAAGGCCAGGACGATTGGAGACATTGATCCCCAAGTGGTTGAGCTGGCTAAGAAAGGCATTAAGGCACTTATTGAGAGTACCCGCGCCTTCCATGGCTTAGGAGACAAGAGGCCGATCATCACCAATATCTTCGGCACTGCCCATGCGTGAGTTACCCTCCTTCAAACCGTGTATGACAAACCATGCTGACCAATTCCAGTCAATGGGGCAACCTCTTGGTTCTTTCGGCTGCTTTCCGCGACCCTGTGCTTCACAGCTATGTGGACGAGGAATTGCTGCGAACTTTGTTCCATAAAACAATCCAGTTCTTGCGACAGTCGGCAACAGCAACGAGTGCACTCCGAACAGACATGCACATTCTTGAGGGCCTTCAGAGAGATCTGTTCAGCTATGATCCCAGGACTAACTCGAGCTTCTCGAGCGGCACAAGCGCGCCTGGTTATCACACCCCAAGACCCGTTGCCATGGCTGCACCTCCCCAGATGCCTCATTCGATGAGCGATCAAGGACACCCACGTTCCATGCCTCATCATCTCCAGATGACATCGCATGGGCAGTAGTCGGATCAATATAATTCTCACACTCAATCCCACACTGATGACTTTCTTATCAACTTTTCATCATGAAATGGCGTTTTGGGAACTGATTCAAACGCGCCGCAAGAGATCATGGAAGCGTGCCAAAGTATGGTAGTGCGTTTCAAGACGCCTCGCCAACCAAGATGTACTTGACGGATAACGCAACAATACCCCTTTGCGCACGGATTGCGCACATTTGGATATGACCAGGATGGATGGATGGATGGCGCATCGCACCGCACCATTATGTCGAGTACAGGTATCTTGAGGTTGGTTCTAGCCTACCCAGTGTCTTCTCGACTTGTTACAATGTACCATCAGCAGTGACGTACAGCAAAAGAATACCCCCTTGGGGTGCAAACCCCAATTCGAACACATGCGATTGTATATACATTCATGTATGTATTTTCCTTTAGGCCTTGCCAGTCATTTGCTTGATTTTGCTTATAGAGAGGCACATCTGTTATTTGTTTTGATTTATTTACAAGAATTGCATTGCATGGCTACTTGGTATGGCAAATGGTTTTCTGAACATCATGGATCTCGATTTTCCTTTTTAACGTGGAGGGATTCGGAGGAGATACCACTCATGGTTGCTGAGCATTATATACCTAGTACATACACATATTGGATTGAGGGAGAGGAGGAAAATACTTGCAAGCTCACTGTCATTTTGTTTATTTGGATATTTAGAGGCGACTCGATTTTAAAAAGAGGCCAAAATTATACATAGCCAACGAAGCAAATACTCAAATCTTGGTTAATGAACTGTGAATAAAAAAGTGAAGAAACGTACAAGCCCGTGTTTCCTGTATGTTCCATGACGCCATTGAGGCCCTCGTCCTTTAATCCTGGCACTCTTCCTGCATCCCATTCATTACATGCAGCATCTCGATAGTGGCTAGCAAACGCCAACAGCCCAGAACAGACCAGGTCAGGCAGTCCCCTGCCCCTGAAGATGCATAGCACTAGTAGTGCGTTAAATGCGTGGGGGAGGCACTGTTCCATTGCTTGTAGCATGAAGGTACGTACATATTGCCCTGCCCGCCTCTGATCTGAGCGTCCCCCACCAAAGAAAAGCTCCCCCAGAAGGGTTTGTAGCCTTCTTCGGCGTTTCCGTTGGTACTTCTAGAACTTGAGGGTTGTGAGGGCTAGAAAAAGGGGCAGAACAGTAACCTGTATAGGTACCTATGTTGCAACTTGACTCATTTGGAATGATTAATCGATTTATCTCTACACACCGACTCCTAGATTTGTTGCCTTTTACGGTCTCAAACGAGTCATACTAACAACCAGCTTTGGGTGAAAATCACAGGGATTCAGGTTTGGCGTCAACAAGGAAAAAGCAATTCGTTTTACCTGTCATAAAGATTCGCAGCAGGGGTAGCGAAACACGAGAATCAGATAAACAGGCATTGGCCACGAGCATTGCGAGAACCACTCTATACTACATAAGATAATGAATGTACTTGTATCAGTCCCTCACAGCGAGGCGCTCAATCAAATTCACGCCGAGACTGTATGTATGTGACCGTGGACTTTGCGAAATCTGTTCGGTATTGGTACTTGGTATAGGACTAGCGATGGATGAAATCTCAACGGCCATGAATCAATGTATGTGTCCTGTAACGACTGGTAATGTTGTGTCTAGGCCCCAATCTTGTAAAACTTCTTTGAGAACTCCTCCTCCAATAACTTGAAAGCCTTCAGCACCAAGATCAATCCACCCTTTCTGTTCGTGTTCGATTGTGACGTCCCAGTAGTCGATCCGGTGTTCTCAGGGTCTGACTCTTCTTCACTATCGTCATCCCAGCTCTCTTGAACTTTGGCCTTTTTGGGACGTTTGACGATCTTCTTGACAACCTCTTCTGGTTTCTGTGTCTCGGCTTCCTCAATTAGGACTTCTGATTCCTCCATGTAGGTGTCATCTTCGTCAAGATCGTCAGGATCGTAGTCTCCTTCAGCACCCATGACGCCCTTTAGACTGGTCACGATGGTCTTGAGCACGAGTGAAAAATCTTTGAGGTGAAACCAGACATCTCCCTGTTTGATGTGGTTATCACGTACGAGTACCTTCAAACTCCCGTGTTTAAAAAAGTCGTAGATATAAGCGTTGAATTCAGTGTCAGTGTCATGAGGCCAGATGGGGATGTATGGTATGGCAGACCCCTCCAAGAAAATACCACCTCTCACGTCTGAGCACAAATCATTGATGGTCGTGAAATCATCACCAAATCCAGACAGGGCTGCGAACGGTGACCGAATGACTGTTGGGTTTCCACCCATAAACGAGGACTCGCAAGGCTTCCTGGGCCCAACCAACACCTTGATTAGGGGTGGTTCGCGGTCTGGTTCATCCCCTAGGTGCTGGTTGATGTATGAATTAACATAATCTTTGAAGATTGACAACACATCCTGATTGTGGCCAATAAGGAGCTTCTCTGCAGGCTCTGGTAGCCGCCTCAAAAAGATTTCTGATGAAGACTGGGCTGCTATGGCGGCAACCTTTGGTGTTCGCTTGATGGGAATGCGGTTAAAAAGATGACTGAGTACCAGCATCAATTCACAAAGAACCCGTTCCTGAGCATCTTCAATATCTTCACACAATTTGTGAAAATAGCCTCCCCGAAGCAAAGAGTGATATGCAAAAACGGCATTCTCAGTGAAATACAAATGGCCGACTAGCCCAGCAAAGTTCACAGGTGCTCCTTTTGCCGACAAAAGATTCTGACGTCGCGAGTACTCGATCGAGAACCATAGATGATGCTTGACTGGCATTTCGGCATCTGGTCCTCCGAGGTACAATCGGGTTTGTGACAAAAGCGCATTGACTGCATTAAGTGCAAAAGGGGAGTTACCAGTGCCACCAAGAAGGATAAACAATTGAAGAATCAGAATAGCCGAAACAAGAAACTGGCCTCTCAGGGCCGGTAGGCGCGAAGACATGACTTCATGAACTCGCTCTTGGGAGATACCATTGGAAACAATATTACCCAGAAGATCAAAGCCTCTTCAGCCAGCACAACCAGAGGCTTGTCGATAGCTCTGAGGCAATAAGAAAACAGAATCGCCACTGAAAACAACAACTTTGCAGGGCATATTGATACCAAGTGCGAGCGTCCCAGTGGCGACAACTACCCTGAGGTAGCCCCGGCGAAAAAGCATTTCCACGCTGGACTCTGTTAGCTGGAATAGTACGACATAAACTGTGAGGGGGTTGTGAAAGATATCGAGCGGCTTGGGGCACGTCTTGAAAGGAGAGCACTTACATCTGACGATAGCGTCGGTTCATACCAGCGTGATGAACGCCCAACCCACGACGAAGAGCATCGATTAACCATGATTCGACCTTGTCTCTGCCCATACTGTACACCAAATCGTCGAAATCACGTTGCTGCATCTTTGTCATGTCTGCAAAACTGAATTGATCCAAAGGTGCCTCCGGTTCGAAGCTTTCCCATCTACTGATCTCCTCACCCGATTCCTCACGAACCAGGTCAAGCTTGGAAATATTATCACCTGCATCTTTAGACCGATTGGGAAAGAATCTTTCCATAATATTAGATCGATCGATATCACGGTCACTGTCCTTCTGTTTCTTCCATTGCTCGAACTTTTGGACCCTTTGTCGCCATGCCTGGCCTGTTTCCCTGAACTTCCTCTCTGCAGTTTAGAGTTCGATGAGGATATGTTGGACGCATTGTTCGTATTTTGAGCGGTCGTAGTTGAACACAAGAGCTGGTAGCGAATCTAGTCTGTGGAGATCACAGACCAAAGGGAAAGGCTTCTGAAAATGTCGCTCAAGAGGAACAACGGGTTGGTCTCTCCGGTAGGTCAGGAAATGGCGAGCTCTCCATTTTCATCACTCTCCTGAGCACAACTTTCAGGTCCTTTTCCCATCCAATAACATGTTGCTTTTCGGTCCATTCAGGTAAGACATTAACGGGATCTAGTTTAGCTGTCTCGGGCAAAAGTGTCTCAGGAAATGTTTTTCTCATGTGCTTCCACAGTGTGAGACAGTCTTGAGCCTCCAGGTTCACGTCGTCCAACACAGATCTGTTTCTATACGATGTCAGTAACGTCCATCAAATTTGGCAAAGAACAACCTACCTATCCTTCAGTGCAACCACTGGATGCACAAACCTGAAGTTGTGACTGATGCTGTCGCCTTCATCTAAACCAGGAACAGGAAGCTGCGACGAGTTTGAGAGGACCTCGAAGGCAAAATCCTTCGGCGGATCATATGTAAACTTACGGAGATCTGAATATCTCACCCCGTGAACAACTATCTTCATATCATAACCCTTTTGCGCCTGTGCAGTCGACAGCCAGTCTCTGAGCTCGTTAGGGTTGCCTACCATGACCGAAAGGGCAATGATTGGGCAAGGTGCCAGGAGAAGCAGCTGTTCCCATACAACACCATCATCCGCCTGTCCTATGTAATGGACCTCGTCGAAGATTATCCTCTTCACTCGGCAAGACCACGCATTTGTGCCGACCGCATTTGTGGGAGACAGTAACATGATTGGTAGCATATGAGGCACAGTGACCAAGATCTGGTACTGAGGCAGGTTATTGATGCGGTAGTCCCGAGTATGAACTGCCCATATCGATTTGCCTGTTTGCTTCTGGTATAACTTGGAGAATCGTGCTTCTATTTCCGCAGCAATCTGATTCACCAAAGCTTTTGTTGGCGCCACGTAGACCAAAACCCCGTCGTCACTCTCTTCAAGTACTTTCTTCATTGCGTAGAAAGAAATGAATGTTTTGCCGGCAGATGTTGGAGCTACTACCAAAACGCTTTCATTCGCATCTATACAATTGATAACATCGCGTTGCCAGGCATCGGGCTCAAACTGCACGCTGGTATCATGCCGAGAGTCGAATTGTCTGTCCATGTAGGGGCCGCCATGTTCAAGTTGCAGAAGTCGAGTATTCTTCACTAACTTGGGAGCCTTCTTCAAAACTATTGATCTGATGTAGAACGGGAGTGTTCGAGAAGTCTCGAGAGTGGCGATAGGCAACGGAGTCGCCGTTAGTGCCTTGAGGACCTCTTAAACAGCGTTGGCGATGTCTGGTGTACAATGAGCCGACTTGGATATTCTCCCAAGCCAGCTCCAGATCATCGAAACTAGATATAGCCCTAACGCACACTGTTATCAGTATCAATACCAGAACGAGACCGTCACTTACCTTCAAGTGAATCCTCACGAGTTTTCTTACGCACCTGGATCCATATCTCCATCAATATATGACATAAACACAGCTGGACCTCTGGCTTTACGGCATCATGGCTGCCGCTAGATCCTATGGATTGGAAATCCAAAGCCCTGGGGTAGCAATCGATTGGGCTATTGACCTTCTCAAATTCGTACTTGTCGCGCCAGTGGTTCAGGATGTCCATTAGTTTGACCTTTTCTTTCTCATCGTTGCGTTTTTGTGCTTCCAACAAGGCGTTATGCTTGCCTCCTTTTCCGGGTTTTTGTTTGTGATGTTTGGGCTTGGCAACCTTGCTGCCAGTAACAATGCTTTTTCTCGGTTGAGGGCCTACCACGATAGTTTCTCGATTGAACGTCTTGCCAGTTGAACTAGTAAGACTGGCCGCATAGGAAATGACTTCAGCCATTCGTCGCTGCATTTTCTTCTGTCGAGCCCTTTCAAACCAAACGGGAAGTGTCTCACGGCCCTTGAGCTGGGTGACAAGTTTGTAGGCATGTCAATGTCTGAGATCTTCGAACACAAGCTCGGCGTTAGAATCCTGAATCTCTTCTGACTCTCCAATCTCGACGTCTCTCAGAAAGCTTTCCAGTGCGAGATGACTAAAAGGCAATGCAGTCAAGTTCTTTTCAGCTTTTGGTGGGGGGCGTGAACCCTTGGATGACTTGAGTGTAGCAAAGGGCTGCTTGACTTCTCGGTCCCATCCTCTGAAAGTCTCGTTATAGAGAACACGGGCTTGCTCTAGAATTCTGGAGGGGATCTCTCCTTCGCTTCTAATCGCCCGAAGGAGATAGAAAAATACTCGCCCATCGACAATGTCAAAAAGTTCCCACCATTCCTGTTCATTCAGTCCAGATGGCATCTCTATCAAACCTTGGGTTGCTGTGCAGAACATGTGGAGAAATTCGTGGTCCTGACTTTCGATCATTTCGTCTTCATTGCAAAATTCCACACAGGATCTCTCCTGAAGAGAGCAATACTTGAGGGCTGCGACTTGGAGAAGGAAAGCTCCCACCCGATTCAGGTCAGCTTCAGTGATTTCGTTTGTATAAGCGTAATGCTCGATATAGGCACGACAGAAAGCCATAGCATTCTTTTCTCTTGCAGGATAATCCACATCCCCGAATGGATGCTGAGTTATTTGTTGAAGCACTGCTTCCGAAAGCGATAAAAGTTCCTTCGCCTCCAGCATCGGCAACTTGAGAGATGAGCCACGCATGTCTTTCTTTCCACTCAACAATTGCATAAAGACCTATGGGGGTTTAGTAGGTTCTGCATGGTGGCTTAGAAAGAGTCTGACCTTTGAACTCCTCCAAATGATAGAGTTAATGATAGCGGCGTGTCTTCCACTCGCTGTGACTTTCTATATCAGGTATCGCAGGTGATTAGCCTGGTCGGGATCTTCAGGAGGCATGATGAGAACTTTGTCGCTTGGGCTGTTTCATGAGAACGATAAGACAGTGTCAAAGGGAATCCGAGAAGAGAAGATGAGAATGACTCTGGAGTTGAAATGTTGAAAAGTTGAGGAGGGGGAAGAGAAGGAGAAGGGAGAAGGCAGGTGCTTTAACAAAATGGAAGGAGCACTTGCTTGCCAGTACCTGCAACCTGCCACTTGCCACTTCGCCAGAGTGTCACAAGCAGCAAGTTGCCAAACCAAGCATTTAGTTAGAGCGAAAAAGGTTTGTCGAAAAACAATACAGAAGTCGTTGATTGTCCGGCTGCCTGACACTGTTGGATCGTGTTCGGAGCAACAATAGCACAACTTCTCACCTAAACAACTGGCTTCCAACTTTTCGTGCATACCCGCAGATTTACACAAAACTTGATGAATCACTGTATAAGGCAATCATGCAAGAGACCCAGAATGTAAAAAGGACGTTAAATATCTAGACAATCTGCACCAAGACCTTGTATGGCACCGCCTTAGCAGTCGTACAACTACCCGCCTCACTCCTCTATTTCTCCGACTTCTAGGTGCGTACAAGCCTTATACAAAGTCCGTATTCCAATACTCCCATTTTAGTCCGCCGTAACGCCACGCGCAATGCAAATTGAGCTTAACAACATCGGGATATGTAACCACGCTTATCGTGACAATGTATTAAAGGACCCCGGCCATCAAGCTCTCTAGCATACCTCCTGTCTGGCATGCTGATTGTGCTCTTTCCACCTCGGCCTTAACTCGGCGGTATAGAGTCCTGAATCCCTCTTGTAGTTCTGCTGAGCCGCCTGCAAACTCGGCGTAAAGCTCTATAAGATGAAGGCCGACCTCGACGCATACGCTCACATAACGGGGGTCGCAAATATGGCCACAGACCCACTTCAGAATGGGCTGGACAGTGTGTTCGTCCCGGGACTCTAGGGCATCTCGAAGGGCGCTTCGGTGGCGGAGAGCAAGGAGGAGGGTGAGGACATTGAGAGGAGAGTGATCAGGAGAGTGCTTATCAAGGACCAGGTCCAAAGCACGCGCATATCGGGCGTGTCGTAGATCATTTTGCCAGGTGCGCTCCTTTTTCTTGTGCGCGCGAGGCTCGTTTGCGATGACAACATCAGCCCCTTCACCAATCATGTCCAGCTTCTTAGCAGCAGTGACACGACGCTTGCGCTTCTTTCGCTTGGCATCATGGGCGTCTATTGTGCCAGCAACAAGGGCAGCCATTTCCTTCTCACGCTCGGCTTCCCTGTTTGCTTCGGGTGCAGTAAGGCGTGTTCGCACACTGAGGACACCCGACTGCATACCAACAGCGAGGTGGCGGTCGCTTGAATCGGAATCGTCGCCAGAAGAAATGACCTTGACAGACAAGACGGGAGACTGGTACTTGGTGCTTGAGACGACGTTCCATCCAGTCGTCTCAAAGACCTTGACGTGACCCTCAAGACCACCACTAACCAGCCGTCGGCCATTGGATGCCAAGCTGAGAGATGTGACAGTCTTTTGGTGGTTGGTGATCATGTGTAGAGGGCGCGCGCCGACCAGGTCGAGAACGCTGATTGATTCACCGGCGGCAGCAAGAACGGTGGTTCCAGTTGGCATGGACAGGACGTCCTCGACAGGTGCTGCATGCTTGAAAGTCATAACGGCGCTGTTGCTTCCTGTTCGGGGATCCCAAATCTTGACGGTCGAATCGTAACTTCCAGAGACAATCATGTTGGACATGGTGCCAGGCATGAAGTTGGCGCATCGAACGTAATCGGAGTGGCCAACAAAGGTAGTGGTTGGGTCATTGCTAGGAAGATCCCAAAGTCGGACGGTCTTGTCGTCGCTTGCACTCAAAAGAGTAGTCAACTCGGTCGGCGAGAACTTGGTGGTCCAGACGGGCTGCTTGTGATGCGTCCATGTCTTGAGGATGGCCCTGGAGCTAATATCAAAGACCTGGATCTTTCCAGTGTCATCACCTGCAGTCAAGACCCTTCCATCCTTTCTGATTTCACCACTACGCGCAACATCTCCGAATCGAGTGACCGTCTTGAGAAGTTTGCGCGTTCTGTTCGAGAATATTTGTATGCGCGTGCCTGTCGTAATTGCGAAAGACTCGCTGTTGGACGAAATGTGAACGATGGGATAATTCGTAGGCGACGGAATCAGAATCTGATTCTTGAAGGTTTTCCAGTATCGCTGCTCTGCGGTGATGGGCGTAGGGCCCGAAGGCAGCTTGAGCTGCGGGAGAGGTCCCACCTGAGCTGCCATTGTGTCGATTTGCGATGACGGACTTATGTTGTGGTGGTAGAAGTTGAGCTGTTGGCCTGCCTCTTGTTGCTTCCAAACCGTGATTTTTTTTCTGCGATAAGGATAAGATATGAAATTTAGATGGCTGAGAGAACTCGGCGGGGCGTTTGCATGATCTAGCCGTTTTGGGTTAGATCATTCTTTCTCCAAAAGCTACTACTAACCTTCACAGCTTATCCGTAGTTCGCATCAACTTCCTCATGGAATTCAACATTAAAAGAGTCGACAGCACAAATGAAGGGGTAATGGAAGTGAAACATTGAAACAATTGCTTTACACACAGTTCTTGTGATACAGACAAACCTTTATCTACAAATAAGTATCCATGTGTTGCTAGAATTCAGTTTCATGTTAAGGCACTAATAACCTTTCCTAAACAGTAAATAAAACAGCATTCTCTGCACTCACAAGCAAAGCATTGGATCATATCATTTAGGTTGTTATAGTATAAGTATATATGATTGTTTTGTCCAATTCTGTCAATTGGACATCTAAAAGAAAACTTCAACATTGCCTTGCATATCCTTCCAAACCTTGCTTTACTCAACGCCAAAATCATTACTCCAGTGACTATGATAGTATACATTCCCTCTAGGTCTCGTTACCTTGTTTGCTCAACTAATATCCTCCCCTTCTTCGGGACCTGCCTGTCCCAATATCAATACGTTGCATCTCGTGCACCAGTGCCAATTCTTGGCCAGTTCCGTTTGCCCCGCTCATCGTTGGCATAGGAATCTTGGCTGGAATCGGTGGTCCTCCATAGACACCACGGTTCTCATCCTCAAAATCCCATGTGCCCGCACGAGGCAATCCGCGAAGCGAAGCGTTACCATACGGTGTCCTCTCTTGGTAATTGTCCTTAGAAATTGGTGCCAGTGGGCTTGAAGCCGCTGGAGAGTTGTCCGCTGATATTCGGTTCGTTCGCTTCTGGAGGCGAGTGCGGCCAGCTTGAGGAGGTGTGCGAGCTTCATCACCGAACGAATATGGCGTGTTCACAGCAGACATCGAGTGACGTCCACTGCGTGGGGCCCGCCGGTTGCTGGGAGGCATTGGCTTAACTCCTGACAATTGAGGTCTTGAACGTGTTTCGCTGCCAGACATTGGCTTCTTTGTCTCTGGTTCAGGTGCCCACGTCTCCATAGGAAGATGATCGGAGGGGTCGATCTCTCGCCCATCATATGTGATGATCTTCTTTGGTTCATCGTCCATAAAAACCGGCGAAGGGCTTTTTCCGCTTTTCGATGAGACAAGACTGGGGTTGAGGGCGTCATATGAATCAGGTCCAAAAGGAATATCTGACTTCCTCCTCTGGTCTTCAAGTGGAGGAGGCGCAGGACTGACTGACTTGCGCTTAATTCTGTGGTGCGGGTTCGGGCTAGTACGCGGGTCAGGAGAGACGCCCCGGTGCTTCACAATTTGTTGTTCCGGTGGGTTGTAAGTGATGGCGCGTCGGTTGTAAGGCTGGACTGCATACGCATGCTCAGGTGGTGGCTGCCCATACCCTTGGTCAGGTGGTGGCTGGTTGTATCCTTGCAAGGACTCATTCCTAGGACGTCCTCGAGGAGGTATGCTAGACATGCTCTGAGAGTGTTGCCTTCGGTCGTGCCGACGGTCCTCGTAGATAAGGTTTGTCAGTTCTTGTGACTGACTTGCGTCCAATCCTGGCACAAGAGCCGCCGGGGGTGCTGGAGCCGCATAATTGTGCGGACTCTGCATATGCGAAGAGTTCATATCAGCTGGATGGCCTGCATAATTGCCTTGCCCATTGTGTGAGTAGTAACCGTTATCAACAGGGCTCCTAGAGTAGCTTCGACCATGAGACGATGGCAAAGCAACTTGCCAGTCCTCAGGATTCTGGTACCCTCTTGGAGAATGAGTTGGTGAATAATCGTCTTGGTATTGAGCTGGGGCAGGCGACCGTCGTAAAACCAGAGGCGCAGGGCTTGGGTTTTCGTCGAAACAAAGCTCATCAGAACGTTGGAACTGTGAGCCATTCTGAGCATACTTTTGCGCTGATACACCAGAAGCATCAGGCACATCCTCAACTGTGGGCTGCATAGATCGATAGTGAGGGTCATAGCTCGCATCGTAAGAGCTGTGTCTCGGCATACCATCATAGGCGTTCGAGTTTGGAGAAGAGGCTTGGTTAGTAGCGGGGGCTGAATCATAACCCCGGAAAGCTGGACGTCCGGGGTAAGGCACCATCTGCTGTCTCTGGGCCTCGTGTCTCAGAACGTCATGTCTCATCTGTGGAAGCTTATTTGGCGACGTCTCCATGCTTCTTCTTGGCACAAGCTCTTGCCCTGAACTGTTCCCTCTGATCCGGTGTGCGGGTGGTGGCGGAGGTCGCTCATTCTCTACTGGAGAGTACTGCCTTGGGTCATCTAATAATGCAGGTGATTGCTCATAGAAGTCTTGCTGGGGGGTGTAATGGCCGCGGGGATCCATTTGCTCCTGTTGAGAAGCGTATCTGGGGCTATACTCTCGGTCATCGTACTGTCGAGGTTCCTCATAAGCGATCATTGACCTTCGAGACGGACGAGTCGCCTCTCCGCGGGTCGGGGTTGTGTATTCCTGCGGCATATGCGCATGTGGGGATGTGGAATACTGTTCTGTTTGATGACGGGAAGAGAGTGAAGGCGGAGTATTATACTCGACAACTTGTAGAGGTGATTGACTTGGGACAAAACTGCCCGAGTGGGATATCTGTTTGGCATGTGTTCGTGGAGGTGTGCGGTTGTCAGAACCGGCTGGGATTTCCATAGGTACTGCTGCTGGTACTGGCAATGGTGCAGGTACAGGTGCAGGGGCTGGTGCCGGAGCCGTCGCTGGAGCTGGGGGCGACACAGATGGAGCTTCACCAGTGACAGGATCTGATGGCAAAGGACGTCTTTTCACAGGATTTCTTTGTTTCACAGATCCTTGATCTGGTTCAGCTGCTGCAATTTGCTTTGGTTTCGCTACCGGCTTGTCGGGCTTTGGTCGAGAGTCGTAGAAGGTGATTTCAACTCTGATTTCGCCAGCGTATTTGCCTTTGCAGGTCAATGTTTGCCAAAAATCGTTCTGTCCACCGCCAGGAACAATAATCGATCTCAAATCGATCCATGACTCGCCAATCAAGTCTGTTCGTTTATCATCTGTGAAAATAGATAGCTTGAGTTGATAGTAATCTGGACAGTCATGAACCGCAAATCGTAGCTCTTGATCCCTAATGTTTGCGTTAGTCTCAGCTGATCTTGACAGTCCCCCGAGATTGAAAATCTTACCATTTTGGTGTTTGTCCACCACGAACATCGGTTGTTGTCTTCCTGGCTTCCTTTCCCAACCTGGCTGCGCAATAGGGATCTTGCTTTCCGATCGTCTTGCGATTCGGCAGATTTTTGGCTCGATCGACGATAGCGACCAGGGTTCCGATTTCTGGGCCGTCCACTGCAATATCGGCAAAGATGCCTGCAGTGTGCGCCGCACTCATAAGATTCTTGACCTTGGCTGACATTGCAGATGTGCGCGCAAAGGCCGAAGTGACAGTGCAGTGAAGAAATATGAAGTGAGTGAGGGGTTTCGATAACCAGTGCGATCGGTTTGTTTACATGAACAATGGTTGCTGTTTGACTAAAAGATAGCTCGGTTTTGGTAGATCCAAAGTCGGACTGGTGTTAGGAACGATGATGACTAGCGCGAAAGCAAAGACGACGCCTGGCAAGAAGAATTCGAATCCAGAACAATAAAATAACCGATAAATGAAAGCCCGGGGAATGAACAGTCAAGAAGGTAAAGTTTAAAACGAACCAGCTGGGCGTTGTTTGACAGAACCGGGGCTAGGAGGATTTTGGGTATAAAGTGGAATTAAGTTTTTGATAGAGCGAACGTTCCGGAGTGCTTGGATTGAAAGGACAGAAAGTGATCGGTCGGTTCGGGATAAAAAGAGAACAAGCTGAGTGAGTTGAAGAGAGGGCGATGACGGAATGACTGGCACAGCTTGCAACGAGGAAGCGAAGCGGAACGAGGCGGGCGGGCGTGATAGATAACGTTAGAGATGAGCAGGCTTCAAATTAGTAGACCAGCCGCGAAGGATAAACCAACTATACTCTCTGAGTATTGAACAAGAGAGAGTGAGTTGTCAAGTGAAGAGAGCATTCGATCAGCTCTCTGTTACAAATGAATCGATGCGATGGAGCAGGATATCGAGACGTTGTATACGGCTGGGCTTGCGTGTGGTTGGGGGCTGAAAGCGGTAATCGGGTGGGTCTCAGTGGAACACCAGCAGTGGAGCCTCTGATGGGAGGCTGGGCTTGGGCGGGCTGGCTGGCTGGAAACAAGGAGGCTGGTGCACCTACTGCAGGGGCTGAAGTAACCCCTAGAGCCGCCTATTCGTCGAGTAGTTCTGGGGGATTTACAGGGAATACTTGCCCAGATTAAACAGGGGGAAGTACCTAAAGTTTGTGCGGGCCTTGGCAGCATCGAAAATTACCTCGATAGAAATAGTCGCGTCACATTCACACGATTAGACAGATTCAATAGGGCAAAACCATGTGAAAGATCAAAAGGCCTTGTTTCTTCCGACCTCCCGCTCTCGTCCGAATCAGGGGATCATTCAGGGACTGGAAAAGGAATCCACCTCAGCCTGGTTCGGCATTTCAGGAACGAAGAAAAAGCAGACCCCCATCAGTGGATTGATGGACGGTTTCATCCAGATCATGGCTTTAATTCTGAGGCGAAAGAAGGACCTGAGAATGAGAACCAGATATGTACTTTAACTCATTGCACCAGTCATGACTCTTCATTACCCGCACTGCCATCCTCCTACATCACACCACATTCGGGAATAGAAGAGGTACTGCATGTCGACATATTGTACGCGCGTGTTTGGCGAAGTTATGCTCACAGCCACACAGCCATTGCGTATATGCTTAGATACAGATTCGGACTCACGATTGCCAAGCTACTGGCTGACGTTGACAGTTCCACCTCGAGCGATTCATTATTCTCAACTTGGAATCATGACTTGTTCTGAATTAGGACCGTGAATCGTATCAATCCATTCACGAGATCAATCGTGGTCAGTGCTGGCTGTACCATGTCAAGAGTCTCTTTACCGCCTTGGATGGCTGGAGTTATATTGAAGTTGGGCAATGGCGGGAAACGAAAAGCACCAATTTCCAAGCCTGACAACGTGATCGTGCACCCAAGGGCCCATCTAGATTGTGGAACTTACTCCAACGCAAATCGCTGAGGCGCTCTCCAAACCCAAAAGCAGAGCCGGGATAACGGGCCCTGGGCGTTGAGAGACCCCTGCTTTGAATGTCACTTATTATCAGTTGGTCCGCCTTTTGGAGAAATAACGGCTCTCAACCTTTCCGGGTCTGATTGGGAGATGTCCTGTCCTCTGTCGAGATCCCCAATTACACGACCCACTGACTGGATTGTTCCCTGGCTGGCTGAACGCCAGGAACAACCTTCTTCAAAACTTTCATCATCGTGATATTGAATCCGGTTTGATGTCACAACATGTTTGCGGCGGTAAAGGGCACTCGGTTGCCATGGGAAACAACTAAACAATGACACGCCCCTCTATTCTCTAGACTCCAGAACATGAACTCTCGAGCTATTGACTTCCCCTCTCGGCTTACGTCGATTACGGTGTAAGCCGGTTTCACACAACGGCCGTACAAACCCCATTGCTAATATGTCAGTCTATACCGCTCCAGGATCAAGGGTTTCATCATCGAAAAATCGTTTCTGATATAAGTGGGTAGAAGGAAGCGAACGGAAATCAACAAGGAACGTGCAGTATTATTCGATGTCAACAAGACTCAATGTTTTTTGCAAATCTCGACTGCATCGAGACTATGACGGCATAATTATCATGGCCAGGCCAACGCAAAATATTCAATCTCAAGCGCATTAAGGAAAGAGATGTGCAAAAGTTTGCTCGGAGGAATGCTGGCAATCCTTGTTGGTCATATTGTGTCATTGCATACGCTATCCAACTACCAGTCACAGCTCGTGGCGAGCAGAGCCGCAAGCTGCTCTAGATTTGTCTTGTCAATCTCATCGAAGCCGTTCAGCTCAGCACAATCGATGTCAATGATGGCCACCAGCTTCTTGGAACCGTCGTCCTGAGCAACGAGAATAGGCACAACGACCTCGCTCTTACTGTCTCCATCGCAGGCGATGTGTCCAGGGAACTCCTCCACATCTCGAACCAGTTGTGTCTCATGAGTTGCTGCCGCTGTACCGCAGACACCTTTGCCGAACTTGATGGTCTGGCAAGCCACCTTGCCCTGAAAGGGGCCGAGAATAAGTTGCGGGTCCTTGGATGACTTGTCGAGGACATAGAATCCTTCAGTTGGGGACAATGTCATTACCAGTTATCATGTGAGTTTGAGAGGGTTGTGACCTACCAGCCCAGTTCACGTCCTTACTTGGTGAGCCCAGAGACTTATATGCGTGCCATAGCAGAGAGGCGGCATTTGAAAGATTGCTATGGAATTATCAGTCATGTGCGCGTATGGGAAGATCTTGATTTGCTCACCAAACCTAGAAATGATAATGGGTTAAAAAGTGAGTCAAGTACATCCAATACACAAGGTAATTTGACGAACCCAGTTACGCTGGTCTGTGACTAGGCCTTCGGCCTGCCAGAGCACTTGCTCATAGGCATCCTCCTTGGTGACGCCCTCGGCAAAGTTTGACGCATCAGCATGAACCTATAGACGAGTTTAAGTAAGTCATTTCAGATGTGCAGGGTCTGGATATAAAATGGAAAGGAGTGGAGGTAGGACGGACATACCATCTTGACTTGTTTAGGGGGATATAGGATTTTTCAGTGGTTTAAAGTAGCACTGATAGGATTGACGATATGCTTCAACCCGTTCTAGAAGAAATTTCGAAGTCGGTAACGAGGAACCTGGTGGAGTTGACGTGACTTGATCGTCGGTACAATGCGTGTGAATTTGCTTCCTCCCCGCAAAAAAAAAGTGCGCCTACTGATAGACTAATTGATGTCATTTTAGTGCCAATTGGAAATGTCTGCACTGGATATTAAGTAGTTGTAACCTCAATTACAGCGGCTCATGCATCTGCTCATATTCATTATAACCATGCCCCGATATTGATCAATAATTGCTTCCTATTCTGTAGTATTTCAACACGAGCTGCATATCAATAGCGGCCCACCCTAGGGTTTGACATGAGTTGCCAAGAGAACCTCAGCTGAGACCCATGAAGGCGGCGATTGACGACCCCATGAAATTGACCACTACTGTAACTAACATGCAGATCTCGGACAGTAACCGTCTCCATTCAGAGCCTAATGGGAAGCCTAAGACTTTGTTTACTGGAGGTTGGTAAAGTATGAAGCTGGATTTGGTGACCCAATGGTAGTGGAAGAAATCCCCGAGATACTTTAATACAAGGCACTCGCCGATCTTTTCTTTCACCGAGAAACGATCCCCTGGAGCTCTACCTGGGTTATACAAGGGGCCATGCTCGCCAAGTACGGATACTTGCATTACCAGTTGTCTCTCAACACAAGGTGGCCTTTTGCATTTAGGGTAACTCAAATTCTACTGTGATAAAGGGCGTTTGTTGTATTTTATTCTACCACGTGTCAATGGAATGAACGAATGGCAATCCTTTAGGAAACAGATTCACTGGAATATTACTATATTAATGGACAATTTATGTTGTGATTTCCATCTATTGCAGCAAGCTGGGCCATTTTGACTGAGCTTATCAAATACTGAACTAAGACGTCCATTGAGCCACACGTGCCTTGATTAATCAAAAGCAAGAAAAGACTAACAAATATTCATAAATTTCCATTTCTAGAATTTCATCCAATAGCATATCATGGCTGAAACGTTCAATTGACGTTTTTGTGACGGTACCTGAAGATCAGCACCTTCAAAGTCCGCTGATGTCAACGAACGAACAGCCTGGCCAATGACGCATCGAGTTTTGGGATTTCGAACTCTTGGTCTCCAAAGCTCATCTCCAAAACTTAGAAACAACCTCACCTGGAGCTCACTTGATCACCATGAGCTTTCGAATTCCAGGGCGATTCTGCCAGAGCAGTCGGACTTTGCACCATTGGCCTCTTCTCACCGCTACTTTGTTATCACAGTCGCTAATCCCGCTGCGAGTAGCATCCCGTTCCATCCATAATGATGGCCCAAAGAGCTTGAACCCGCTCGTCAACCCTCCCGACGTCACTCGACCGCCACCACTCACACTTCCTCGACGAAGAGATTTCGAATCGGCGCCCAAATACTACTTCGAGCTGGGAAAAGGGTACCTGAAGTTCTACAAACAGGGCCTCAAGAACGTATGGACAAGTCGACGTCTCCTTCGCGAAAAGCTACAGCGGACGCCGGTCAACGACCGACCATCGATATTCAAGCCTCATTATGTGCCCAAAACATTTTCTAGGGCGGACTGGGTCCTCCTCTGGCGAGTGCGACATGATATGATACGGCTGCCTCTATTCGGGCT